TACACACACACACACACACACACACACACACACACACACAACACACACACAACACATTATCTTAATTCTTACTATTAACATAATCATTTCTTATGACAGCAATACCAACTACACAAAATATTTTGTGTCATCATAACACATTATTAATGTAGGCCTAAGTATAAAATGTACAGTCATTCCTCTTTCGTTTCATTCCATTCAAACAATGTCATATCAATGTTGTAATAATCCTCATGTTATATCTGTTGCTTTCACGTACTTAACGGGAAAATTAGCATTCATTTTTAACTCGAATACGTTTGAGTACAGTACGTATAAGAATAGCCCATCTCGTCTTTTCAAGAAGGTTTTTTTTTAAGTATGCGCTTTAAATCTCAATTGCTATTGACGGGTATCGATTACATGAAATATTTGATTGCCTAGTTTATACATCACATGGAAACTGATTGTTTTCTACTGATTTTTGTAAGGTCAATTCTTGTAGTGTGTCCTGTGCCCAGCGGGTGGCATGTTGGGGATTTTGCTTTCAATTTGATTGATTAAAACTGGAAAAAAATACAACTTCAACTCGGGTTCTTAGTTATTGTATTTTACATAAATGTTTGTGATTCGTGGCACTTTATTTAATTGTCTGCGTGAAAAGTTCTCGTTCATTGTCTTGAAAGACAAGCGGGTGGTTGGTGGTTGCTCTGGTGTTATTTTCTCCGTGTTTCCTATCAAACATATATCGTGTTTATCTCTAACACACTTAATCTTCAGCACCTATGTGACCTTATTGAGTTAAGTCTACTAAACGTAAGAGGGCCAAGCATAGAAGCTGGTAAACAAGGAAAACAGGAGTTGAGAGTTTAGCTTAGGCTACTGAGTAGATCAACGGTGGTTTCGGAGGACACATCGGAGTTGGGAAAACTGAAGATTTGCATAGCCTTACTTATACTATAAGTTATAGATTTTACGAGAAACAGCAGTGTTAATGTGTGCGTGCGTGTGTGTGTGTGTGTGTGTGTGTGTGTGTGTGTGTGTGTGTATGTGTGTGTGTGTGTGTGTGTGTGTGTGTGTGTGTGTATGTGTGTGTGTTTGTTGGTTTTTTGTCTTGGTTTTTTCACGGAAAGGGAGGGGAGGTTTGTATTTAATGTGAGGGTATTTTTGTGTGTGTATGATATATTATGTTAGGGGTGGTTGGGTTGTTGTTAGTTTGTGTATATGTATGTGTGTGTGTA